CCCAGCATTTGGGAGGTAGAGGCAGGAAGATCAGAAGTTGAAGCCCAGCCTGGGCTACACAGTGAGTTTAAGGCCAACCTAGACTACATGAGACCCTACTAAAAAAAAATAAATAAATAAGCAAAACAAACAAGACCAGTAAGATGACTGGGCAGGTAAAAGGATTTGCCACATAAGCCCAACAACCCGAGTTGGCTTCCCAGAACCCACATAACAGTGGAAGGGAAGATTTGACTCCACAAAGTTGTCCTATGAATTCCACATGCACACTATGGCATGTGCTCTCACATATATCATACACATACACACACACACACACACACACACACACACACACACAGAGTCATAATAATAACAAATTAAACTGATCTTCCCGTAAGTGCTGAGTGCCAGGACCCCTTCTTTGTATCTGTTAGACTGTCCCTTTCACTGGTGTTCCCTCGCCCACTGTCCTGCTAGACCCTTCACAGTACAACTAGGCCACAGCACCTAGTGGCCACTTAGCCCTTCATCCCTTCTGGCCTGATGGCAATAAGCCCATCTTCATCCCCACATGCAGGACTGAGAAGTCCAGGCAGACACTGGCTATGGTGGCTCTGTTCCTGCTCTCCAGGGCTGAGCCTAGAGCCTGTCATAGGCTAGAGATGTTTCTAGAAAGCATGAAGAAGGCCAGGGTCAAGTAGCAATTTTTTGTCTCATATTTAAAAATCAGTCTTCACGGGGTTGGAGGGATGGCTCAGCGGTGAAGACTGCATGTCACTTTGCAGAGCTGATTCCCAGTACTCAAGTCAGGCAGCTCACAATTGTCTGTAACTCCAACTCCAGAGAATCCAACACCCTCTTCTGGCCTCCCCAGATACTTACACACACACACACACACACACACACACACACACACACACACACACACACTCATAAAATCTTAAAAAAAAAAATAGTCTTTGGAAGCTAGGTGTGGTAGTACACACCTTTATTCCTAGCACTCCGAAGGGGCAGGTGGATCTCTGTGAGATCAAGGCCAGCCTGGTCTACTAGCAAGTTCTAGGCCAACTGGGGTTATAAGGAGACTCTGTCTCAAAAAGATAAAAAAAGGGCCAGGTATGGTGGCACACACCTTTAATCCCAACACTTGGGAGGCAGAGGCAGACAGATCTCTGTGAGTTCAAGGCCAGCCTGGTCTACATAGTGAGTTCCAGGACAGCTGGGGCTACAGGGAGACCCTGTCTCAAAAAGACCAAAAAAAAAAAAAAAGACAAAAAAATGTCTTTGGATATAGCTCAGTTCAGACATGCCTAGACCCCTGTCTCATAGAAACTATAATACATATGAAGGGTTTTAAGCTGCTAAATGCCGTTGCCAGTAAGAGAGCAGGTTAACAGCTGATCCCCAAACTCATCAAGGGTTCTAGAACAATCTTCACTTTCGTCTATCTCATTGTCATCACAACTCTTCAGTCTGGGTTTATTTCCCACTGGAAGCAAGGCCCAACAGGACTCAGTTCAAGACGCTGGACAGTCTCTGCCCTTTGGTGGGGTGCAGGTGAGCTAGGGTCAGGAGGCCGATTCTCCTGGCTAGGAAAGAGTCCAAGGTTCAATGAGGGGGAGCTGCCTGACCACCATCACACCCAAGCCTATGGCAGAGCCTGGCCTGAGGCCCGAGTGTCCTGAGCCCCAGCCTGCCTCCTTCCCAAGGTGCCTGTCAGTTCCAGTGTAGCACCTGCTGGAGGGACACAGTAGGGTGGGAGGAGATGCTGGGGGCCTCATTTCAAGCCACCTCTGTCCCTTCAGCTCATTACTCTGAGGACAAACCCAGATGCAGCCACTCAGAATAGGCGATTCCAGTTCACACAGAATCAGAAGAAAGAAGACTCAAAAACATCCACCTCCGTCACCAGCGTCAACCAGGCGAGTACATCACGCCTGGAGGGACTGCAGTCAGAAAACCACCGCCTGCGAATGAAGATCACAGAGGTACATCTGCTTCTGGAGGCCACCCATCCTCCTGTTGCGGTCCCTCTGCCTGGCCTCCAGGCTGTCCCTCCTCTGTAGTCCTCCAGAACACTCCTGGGTCACAGCAGCAGAATCTCATCTGCTGTGTTTATAGCTGGGGTGACATAAATCAGAGTCCAGCTGGCCTGGATTCCTAGAGTTCAATAGTTCCCAACGCCAGACACACCCAGAAAGAGAGGACTGAGAAATGGGAAAATTTTGGACTAGCTGTACAGAGGACCCCCCACGACTCCCTAACACACAGCACTGGAAGACAGTGCAAAGACAAGCTTCCCTGGGCTAGGCTGTGCTGTGGCAGTCCTGTCCCCAGGTTCCAAACTGCTTCTTGAATATTCCAGAGAAGCCATAACTAGGGTTCTTTATCCCCAAGATAAGCCTCAAAATGAAAGGGAACCTTAATTCCCTCTGCTTCTCTCTCGCTCCCTAGGGCCAGGGGGTCTGACTATACCCACATCTAGGCTCTTCATGGGGGATTGCTGACTCAGGCTAGGATGCTGGCCAAATAACTGCAACAAAGAGGCTCCTAAAGAAAGTGGCCCCAAACAGGAGGCTGAGATAGAAGGGTCACAAGTCTAGGTCATCCTGGGCTCCATAGCAAGACCCAGTCTCAAAAGAGAAAGTCAAAGAAAATATATGTATTTCCCTCTCACTTAAGGGTCCTGTAGACAAGGGTCCCAGCTGGGCACTTGGGCTCCCCATGGTCATTGTGGGACTAGGCTCCTCCTCTCCAGCTTCCTGCCACTCCTCAGGCACAGTGAGGCATAGGTATGGGTGTCAGTCTCAGGAAGGCAAGACACTGGAAACACACACAAAGATCGCCTTTTAAGCAAGTGACACAAAAACTGCATACATTTTGGTATTATCGCACTTATATTGCCAGAATTTACATTAGTCACACAGGAGACTGGGAATGTAGCCTCTTGCTAGGCAGTTGCATTAAAGAAGTAAGTTGCGGGCTGGAGAGACGGCTCAGCAGTTAAGAGCACTGATTGCTCTTGCAGAGGACCCGGGTTCGATTCCCAGCACCCGCATGGCACCTACAAACCATCCTTGACTCCAGTTCCAGGGGAATCTGATGCCCTCTTCTGACCTCTGTGGCACTGCACCACACAGGGGCACTCACATACATGCAGGCAATACACTCATACACATAAAATAAAAATAAAATATATATATATATTAAAAAAAGAAGTAAGTCGCTAGATTAGATACAGTTAAATTATGTTTTCAGTACAAGTCTGTCCCACACCACATGTGGGCCACACTGCAAAGAGGGCTTCTTATTCTCTATAATTTAAATTTGACTGGGGCTTCTGTATTTTCATTTGCTAGATCCAGCAATATTTGGGGGGGCTCACAGAACCTGGCCACAGAGAGCTACTACATGCTGTTAGTGCACCTGAAATGTTTTAAGACAGGGTGTCCACCACCAGCCAGGGCAAAGGAGGACCAGCTTTTGCCCCCTGAGCCCATTGCCAATTCTATTCTAATATCAGACCTCCATAACAAGCAGGAACAATTCAGTGCTCCACCTTCTACTTTTGCCAGCACCTCCAATATTTCAGAGTCCCCCATTATGGGAAACCCAAGCCATTGTTGAGAGCCCCAACACACAACTTTGTTCTTCCTGGAATTGAGCCACCATCCAGCCTCCAATTGGCCCCATCCTTTCCCTCCCCTGCTATTTGGATAGTATAAGTAAGTTATCTCTTCATTCCTGTGAAAACTTATGGAGCAGTGGCTTTGATCTTGACCTCAGAAGAGCACTTCCCAGTTAATAAGGCCCCTTTCTTACCCTGTAGTAGGATGCCCCTAGCCATCCCAACCACCACTGCCCACCACCAACACACACAGTCCCCTGGTTAGTCTAGGCCTGACTTGATCTTAATTCTTCTATAACCTGGGCATGACCGTGACTCATGGTGCTCAGCTCCACCTGGTGACCTCCGCTAGCCTGAGCCTGTATGGCAATGTGGGATGTAGAGCTGAGGAATTCAGCCTATCTTGGCCTCCCGGCTGAGGGTCTGTTGGATACCCATAATAATGGTTGTACCGATCACACTCCAGCAGCTGGTTCCCTCCTTATACATAAGTCAGGCACTGGGCTAAATTTCCCAGACATCATCTCTTTGCATCATCATACACCCCTGGAGATGGGTACTGTGACCACACCCTGTGCTACAGATGAGAGACCAAGACTCACAAATCAGTACAGAGCTAGAAAGGGCAGCCCTTGATCTGCCCCCTGCCCTGCCTCCTGGGCTTGCTTGGTCCTCCCAGAAGGCTTAAGCCTGCACAGTTCACATGACTGCCCCCAGAGCAGGGGCCAGGCTGAGTCACATGACTCTTCTCAACTGGAGCCTTTTCTTCTAGCTGGACAAAGACTTGGAGGAGGTCACCATGCAGCTGCAGGACACACCAGAGAAGACCACCTACATTAAACAGAACCACTACCAAGAGCTCAATGACATCCTCAACCTGGGCAACTTCACAGAGAGCACAGGTGAGAGGAGACTGGCCCAGAGCAGGACTGAGCACCCATCACTTCCTAGATGAAACTAAGGCTTCTGAGGGAGCAACAGACTGGTCTGAAGTCACACACAGACGGAGTCGGAGCACCTGGACCCCCATCTTCTGCCCATACCTCTGTGTCTGTCAGAGGTTCCCCCACCCCCCAACCTCCCATTTGGTCCTGGGCTTCTGCTTCTCCCCGTCAGGTGCCTAGTCTGTGCATTTACAGCAGAGCCAAGTTTTGCTCTTTGGTCATCAGCAGATAATTTATATTTACTTCTCTAAACAGTGTTTCACAGTTTCAGAAGCATCTCATCTGTGTACAGGAAAAGAACAGTCAGGAAGATGTGCTATGGTGCCCAGTCTAACCAGTCACCTGACAGGAATAGGTCACAGTGACATGGACCACTTTCTGTCTACCTCTTAGTGAAAATCAGTGTGGGTAGGGTGTTTGTGATGTTTTGAAAGTCAGCCCAGCCCTTTCCAAATGTGAAATATTAATTAACCTTATCAAGTAAGCAGTTACCCAGTTGGGGGCCATGGAAATATGTCCATATGGGCACCTATATGTTCAAACTATTTTTGGATGAGAAAGACTGTAGTTAACTTATATGCATATTACATAAAGTGATTTCATTAACTACAAAACAAACGGCACATTGTGCAGCCATTCATAAGTGAGGTAAAGAATAGGAATATAGCTGAGTGCCTATCACGTTTGAGGCCCTGGGTTCCATCCCTGGCAATTCAGAGAAAAAAAGTTAAGGGGGCTGAAGAGATGGCTCAACAATTAAGAGTACTTACTGCCCTCCTCCTGCCTCCACCTGGGATCACAGGCATGCACCAGCTTTAGAAGTTTTATATATATA